AGCCTAGGTTAAGTACATGAAATTTGTGAGCACATGAGAAAACAGCACAGTAATGGATTTGCCAGGAATTTTTTCTGCATTGATTGGAGCAGTATTACTAATCCTGAATCAATCTAAATGTACAGAACTGAATAAGTATTAGAGCTGTCCAACAAGATTTGATAAATGCACTATTCCATTAATTTTACCTTTTTTTGTTGAATAAATTATTTGACAAATAATGATAAAATTCATCAAATAAATTATCTGATGAATGTATTTTTTAAGTAATCGACTAGCTCTAATGAATATGCAGGCAGTTCCTTAATGAAAGGCATTACTCTACTGTTAGCCTGCTTTCATCACTCATATGTCACTCTTTTTGTATTTTGCGACTGCAATCTGTATATTTTATTCATTTACCCATTCATTTATACAAGAAAAGTTCAAAACAGTATGTTAATCAATCACTGCAATTCTTAGAATATTTTTGCTTTACAGTTGATTATTCATTACATTTATGAAAAAGGGCTTGGATTTACTGAGGACACCTCTCTCAAGAATTATTCTTGGCTTGTATGTTCCAAGTCAAGTGTACAAGAATGCTCTGAAAATTGCAGGGTTCATTTATAACCCATTTTTATAGTTGTAAACACTACAATTACCAATTGTTTCAAGAAACTGGAGCTTGAAGCCAAGCCAGACACCTTCAAAGTCCCTGAAAACACTCATTAGAGAAGTAAAACAAGGAATAGCGTACAGGAGCCACCTCCTCACTGAACAGCACTAGGATGTTTGGATAAAAGCCACAGAGAGGATTATTTGGATGAGGTTCAATTTTGGAAATGTTCCAACCTCAAAGAGCAAGTCTGTATTTTGTTATTACAGAGGTGATCTCAAGAAATGATACTGATAGATTTATACTGTCAAATAGCAAATTGCACCTGTTAATGTTACAAGTTGTCACACTTCTGAGTCCTGGTTCCTTACAGAAGTATGCCAATTTATTGTGACAGTGGCAGTGGGTACAACAGTCAAGCCTGCATGACTCTGTTGATACTGTGAAGGTGCAAATCATGTTTTTATGGGTGACTTTGAACTGGCTGCACTAAGCTCAGCTGAACAGATTTGATGGGAGAAAGTTGTGGGAGACAGGTATATTAGAAGGATTGGGTATAGCTGCACTTGGAGTAGTAGTGTAGCAGTGATTCTTTTCCAAATTTTCCTTTTAATGGCTTGTAGACTTTCATAACTACCATATTAATCGTCTTTGCCCAACCCTTCCAAATGACATAATTTCTATTGCCAGTTGGTTAACTAATATATAGCTGTTCCTCACAATAGGTACAAGTGGAGGGACTTACGCTGTGTCCACAGAGTTTAAAAGATTGTTTTCAAAACCCCCAGTAATGCAGAATAAAGCCCTTACATAGGTCTGCTCCCACTCAACACAGAGCAAGCTATGATGCCAGAGGTGGGGAAAGCCATGTCAAAATCCTCCACAATGGGAAGGAGTTATTGACTGACATTACACACTCATCAAAACTGCTGCCATGTTACCCTGCCAGCAAATGGTTATTTCCATTCTACACACTTCTTATTACAGGAACATTAGAATTGTAAGAGTGTATTTCAAAAGGAAGGAAAATGTTCTAGGGCTTCTTTTTTATTCTCTCACTCTTTTTTCTTTCTTTTTTTTTTTCTCTCCATTTTTGTACCTTTTATCTCTGGAGTTTATATTTGTCTTTGCCTCAATCAGGCATGGGTTGTGGTATCTGTGAATGTTTGTCCCTTAAAGCTTGAGATAAACTCACTTTTCTATTAAAAAGTTTAAATACTTGTTATAAATAATTTCTCCATACTTGTATGCTTTGATCTAATCTACTGCATAGTTTTAGCTAAAATGGTTGTGGTTCTAAAGATTACAAATATTAGGAAGAATAAATAAGTTGTAGAAATTATCTTCAGCTTGCAGATTGCTTTATAAAGGTTTAAAATGCCCTTTCTTTGCTAAAGAGCACTCCTTTTCATGTACAGTCACCAATCTAATAATAATAATAATTTTTAGATGGGATCAATAAGGCCATTGCTTTGCACTTAAGACTTCTAACAGAACCTTAATATTAATAAGCAAATGCCTTCAGAAGTAGTGTTTCTGCTTAGGCAATCAGAGAACTTAATTTGTACTTCTGATAAACACTTGAGCTCCCTATGCTTCATTATTATTGCAGATTTAAAGTCCAAGAACATGCTTGAAACAATGTGCCCTGAGACAGATAACCCATTGGTACAGAACCGGTTTGGTTCTTCACCATTTACTTACAGTCTCAAAGGCACATTACAGTATAATCCAACCACAAATCTCCTGGGTCCCCATTTACAGAAACTGAAAACACCATTTGGGTACATGGGCATTTGTCCTGACAACGAATTTAATGTTTTTGTGCAAGAATCAGATTTGTGGTGAGTAGCTCTCCAGAGATTTGGTATCCATGCTCTTCAGGCTGTCTTGGAAAACTTGCAAATTCAATGCTATTAGTAGATGAATCTCAGGATTAAAGGTAAGCTTGAAGCTGACAGATTTTTCAGCTTTCAGTATGAGTGTTGCAGTGTCCTATATGGTTATCCCAGAACAAAAATGACATTTTCTTTTCAGAGTTCTTAATTAGTACTTTTCTTTTTCCTTCTTTTTCTTTAATTAGCTGTGGGCAGAATGGAAATATTGGAAAACGTTCAGCTGGTGTAATTAAAAGGACTTCCTGAGTGGCATTACTTTGGAAAGTGTTCAGTGTTTGTCATGATGGCTCTCATGCAGTATGCTCAACAGGAAGACTGGACCATGGAAGCAGAATTACCAACAGCAATGTGCCTTCCACAGAGAAGACATCTAACACCAAATTTATCTTCTAGAATCAGTGTCTATTTCCATAAGGTTTTCCATATTTTCCTTAGACAGTAACCTGTATACAGCATGAGCAAATTACCTAGATCCCTGTACTCTTTGAAACATCCCTCTTGCAGTTCAGGCTCAGGTTTGCCATCACTCCATCAAAACAAACTGTCCAAACCCTCTAAAAAACCTAAAAGCAGCAGAAGTAGCTTGCTGAAAGCAGGTCACCTTTCCTTCTCGGTCTAGTGGTGCATGATTATGAAGAGACAATGATAAAGGTATGTGAATACTGTGAAAACAAGTTAGCACAGTTAACACACAAAAAGGAGCAAAATGACCACAGGGTTTTTGCTGTCCAGCTACAGCTTTTTTGGTGTGGCTTCACTTAGGCAAAGGAGTGAGACAAAAAGAAGAAATTGGTTGTTTGCTATTCTTGTCCATAGGAGGGCTGCATGGGCACACAGTCCTATATCAACTTCTATCACCTCCCTTTTTAATTTGCAGGGATTGCTGGAAGATCTGGAGTGCTCAAAGAATAGCTAGAGGCCTCAGAGTCCTGCTTGCAGGATTTGCTTCTGCAGCCAGTCAGACTTACAGCAAAGCCACTGCAGACCTGCTCTGCCTCTGCACTGTGTTCCTGAGATCCCCATTAGGCACAGCTCAGCTGGAGCTGAAAACAAGGTTCCGGATGCATATACTTGCGGAATTTTGTATGTTTTGATAATGCAGTTTGTTTGTGCTAACCATACAGTGATACATCACTGTGCATAAATCTTCACTTGAAGGCAGATGAGGAACAGGAATGAGAGAAACAACATGCTGCCTCCATGGAAGAAAGAGATAAGGTCCAAAGGGGAAATAGGAAATTGTAAACTTAAAAATTGTAAGAATTTCCTAGTAAAGGATGGTGCCTTCCCATGATTTTGTTTTACCACAGTAACCTGCCAGCCATCAGGGCTATCTGACCCCAGAAGCACTGACCCAAGGGAGGTCACAGTGCTTTGCCTCTCTCAGAACCAGCTCTGCTCACCAGGCGAGTGAGATGCATCACCCTGCAGTTGTATCTGGCAGGTTGTTCCCACCTATCTCCAGTCTGCAGTAGGACTTTGGTGTGGAATTTGACCAGAATGATACCTTTATTAAGATGTGAAATGGTTAATGACTTGAAATAAAACTGTTTTAGTCCCAATGTTTGTGTGTTAGGCTCTGCCACTTCTTTTTTTTTACAAATCCTCACATTATCACCAAATAGCTTAGAAAGCAGCAAAGGGTTATAACAGACTTGACCATAGATGTCACGAGGCCTCACCATTGTACCTTCTCCTCTTAGCTCCAGCTATTGCCAGATCACTGTCAACACAGTCATACACAATAATGCCCCATTACAGCTGGAATGGTTCCTTAAACTTTATAGCACTTAGAAATGCTCCCAAGGCACCAAAAACGTCTCGATTCAGAATTGAACATATAATACCTGCCAAATTTGCAGGTTTGAAACCACTTCCAATAAGAATTAAAAAGGCCCTCTTCACAGCTGAAATAGGGCTATCAATACTTGACTTGTCTGCCCATGTGAAATAGCGGGTTCTTTTCTCTGACGTCGCAATTTAGTTTAAAATAGCTTTGATGATGACAGGGTACATGCGAGTGATAAAACCACAAAGATGACAGTCTAATCTTACAAAGATGACCGATCACTGATAAGAGATTAAGTCACACAACATTTGAAAAACCAGATTATCTGTCTGCTAGGATAGTGTCTGTGTACACCTCCTGCTGAGCCATGCTGAGATGCCAGCTACATATAAAGATGCTTCACCTTAAAACCCAGAAATGCTTCACAGAATTTCTCAAACCATTGGGATAAAAGAAGGAAAGTGAGTAACAAAAAAAACCCACTCTGATCTTATACTGAGGCGTTTTTTTTTTGTCAAAAATTCATTTTTCAGACTAGTAAAGTATTTAGATGTACAGCATATAAATAATTTAAAGGCACTATAAAAAGGTTTAAATTAGTCAATTCTGCCCTATAATTAGCACTCACAGCTATGCTGCCAATGGGTGGGTGATTATTAAACACTTTTTATTATAGGTTTTATGTACTACAATAAAAAATGAAAATTATACTTACAAGAATTATTAGACATGCTGGTCCTATAAAACTCCATATAAAGTTATTCTTAGTGCTGAGCCAACATCTGAAAATTAAACAGCAGAAAATGCCTTGAAATGTGCTATTGTTATTATTGTCTCCTTATGTGTGATGATTTGGACTCAGAAAGAGTGACTTACACTTCCGTGGTGCCATAGTACTTGTATCCCAGTGCAGCAGAGATTCCAACAACTACAGCTGGACTGACATAGCCAAAGACATAGAAATTCTTGTGCAAGAAACCCTTGTTGTAGATGACTCCCACAACTATAAGGTAAAGGTGAATACCTTCAATGCACATCCATGCAAAAGCAGCTAGAAGGAAATAATGGAGTAATCCAGCAGTAATTGAGCAGAAGAGCTAGAAATTCAATCAGAGAAAGCAAGAGTCACAATTCTATTAATATGCCTTTGTTACTATAACATAGCAGTACATGCACAGGAACTGAGTGACTCTACATTGGTGATTCAGCAGCCCAGATGTTATGCTGAATGACAAGAAGGTGGCCTACACCTATGAGCACACTTGTTTAGTCATGTTTTCTGTAGCAACTGGTAAAATAAAGAGACTACATTCAACTTTTAAAATTGGTGCACATCTTCCTGGAAAAACTGTATAAATGATTTGACAAGGCTGATCCTGTAGCTATAGCTGAGTAGTCTATATGCTTCCCTACTTATCTACACAAAGTTCATTTTTATGATTTTGATTATGATTATGATTTTGATAATTAGGCATCACAAGGAATTATTTCAGAAACAACTTTTCTTGTACAAAGTGTTTGTAAAATAATATTTCTCAATCAGTCAATACTGGAGTGCTACCTCAGGGATAGCAGCTCATATTTTTTCAAGTAATTTTAAATCCTATTCAACTACTTATAGTAGGGTTATTTTGATAATTTATGCATTATTTTATTTCCTGAAACTAATCTGAGATGCAAAAATCAACAGACCAGCTTTCTGAGAAGCAAGATGGGCAGGTTGAGACATTATGGATAGGAAGGAAAGTGATCCTCCAGCCAACAGCTCAATACCTTAAATGTCAACTTGAGATCACAGATCTGGTCTGGCTTTTAGGGAAAACTGTCAACCGAGAGTCACTAGTGTGCCTTTGTACAGCATTGTAAGGGATGTGAAAAGTGAAAATGCTAAACACAGAGATCACAGTCTCAGTAAAGGTGGCAAAGTTTAAATGAAGCCCATGGAGGAAAGTCTATATACACCAGCTCAGACGAGGCTCTGCTGCTTTAAACAACCATTTTGTATTTCCTGTTACTGTACTAGGAAGTCAGGGTCACGATTCATACTGATGGTAGGAAACATGGGGAGTAGACAGGAGATTGTATCTTATACTGTATACTTATTTCGCAATATAAAATCAAGAGACAAGTGAAAACTACCCACCTTATTATTGTTCATATTAATTCCAATCAGAAAAATAAGTTCCGCCAGGAAAAGGCTGCAGCAGAGGTTTTTGTGAATTGTCGTTCTAGTGCTTTGAATTTCACTGAAGAACCAGAATGTAAAAATGCACATGGAGAGGCAAATCAAGGAAATAATTATTCCTAGCTGAGTGATTCTTGTAAGAATGTTATAATTTGTAACACCCTGGGGAAAAATTATAATATAATATTTAAAAGAACAGCTTTGTACCTTCTCAAGAAAGACCTTATTCTATTATACAGCTCTTTTCTTCTTTCCTACAAAATATTAATCAAAACTGTTTGTAGAGTTTCACTGGAAATGTACACTTTGGATAATTTAAAAAGTATTGGGCTTTTGTGAGACAGATATAATTCTAGGGGAAATTAGTAATAAACTGTATATATTCTTGCTCTTGCATTTTCTGATATTTCTTAACAAAACTTTTTATTAACATCAGTATCTCCTAATATGATTTTAAAAATCAGATCATTTTAGTGAATGACAAATACACTGGCAGTAGGACATATATTAATATGACATGAACATTTTCTAATATAAAAGGACTTATCACAGCAGTGACTTAGATAAGCAAAATTGAATAACCGTCTTACTGAATTTTCAACATGATCAAAACAAGACTCTGAAATAACAATCACTTCAAACAAATGCTATTCCAGATACATAACATGAACATTCTCCAAAGAAACATAGGGTATTTGAATACTGGATGTGAATATTTCTTTTGCTGCTTGGTATTTGCACAAAGAATCTCTGAAGTACATGACTGTACTTCAGCAAAAGGGTAGTATTCAGCTGACCAGAAAATGTATCTAAGTATTTTTTTCCTAAATAAAGGACCAGAGATTATTCACCTCCCAGCCTTTCTTTTCAAAATAACGATATAAGTACCTGCAACGGTTTTAAATTTGAACTGAAGACTTAGGATGCTATTTAGCAACCAGGAAACAGCCTCTATCAGCATGAAATTCACAGTGTGAGAGAACTGTCTCAATACTGTATATTCATGCTAATATTCTGCTTGCTGTCAGTTCTGATACCTTATAAAGCTGCCTCCTGAGGCAGGACCTGAGCTCCTGCAGATCCCCACTGAGACCCTGGAAATCTATGGAGCTTCTTAATGTAAGTAGGACATAAATTGTCTGGTCATTCTTCCACTTTTGTGCTGGCCATGAGTGTCCATGTTAAATAATCATAAACTTCAAATGGATTATGCTGCTGCAAACTCTCAGGAGAGAATTTAAAGAAGATGGTTAGATGCCAGGGTTAGACAAATGTGTGGCAGTTTTGTGAGAGAGAAATTCAGGGCCATATGGTTACTGACCACCAGTGAATGGCAGATAAATCCCACAGCAGTCTTAAAGTGGGATTTAAAATGAAAAGCAATGCACCAAAAATAAGAACAACAGACTGTATTTGGAACAAGATACTTTGCTGCATCACTGGTCTGTAATACTGCAGAAAGGACATAAGGAAATTCAAACACATATGGGAGGAATTTTGTTTGCTCTGTGCACAATAAATTGTGTGTTTGCTGAACACAAACAAGAGATAATCTAAAGGGGGAAAGTATGTATGTTGCACTAAAATTAAAACGTAAGGAATGAAAACAGGAAAAAGTATCAGGTAAAACACTAAATTAAAACAGCACTTACAACAGAGCCACCTGAGGACATCAACACAGCAAAATGAGTCAGATGATTACATTTGCATGAGATATGAGTGGAGTTGGAATGTGTCAGCTCACAGCCTTCTGTAGCCCAGTTGCCATTCATTGTGTCTGCTGAGTAGTTCCAAAATGCACATTTAATGTCTTTATCTGCAGTCTGGAACAGAAACAAGATGTTTTACTGATGGCAAAAGGCAAGATATTTCCCATCAAGAGACCTTTCCTATGCAAGCCAGTGCAATTCATTAAAAATTGCTTGTTACCATTGGAAGGCTGGGAAACAAAAAGCACGTTCTGCAAGGCCTATTCCAAGCAATAAAAACATGGCTGGGGATGGAAGCATTTCATTTGCACAGCTGAAACACCACCAAACATGTAGTCTAATCAGATTACTGAACCATTCTGGCACTTGTAAAGGTGTTAGAATTTTTACCTAC